GTGTGTGTGTGTGTGTGTGTGTGTGTATACATATATATATATATATACATGTATATATATATACATGTGTATATATATATATATATATATATATATATAGACAGAGACAGTTCTATACCCGCATAAGTATACTCGTACTAACCCCCTATCTAAGATAAGAAGAGTAACCCCATTCATGAATATATATTTACTCCTAGTGTCAAAACGGGAACTAGCAGTTGAATGTTTTGATACCTCCTTTCGCAGAGGGACCGGCGTTGGTTTCCAACGACGCCAAAAATGATTCCGACATATAGTCATCCACTTCGCTACTGCTATTGGACATGATGACCGTAGTTACTTACTCGAAACTGCACAATATCAAGATTGCAACTCTCTATGTTTTTCCCTTCCGCTGATAGGTATCTGACACGGCTGAAGTGATCGTCGTGTACGTTATAGATACACAACAACAAGAGAGTAAATTAACGCGACGAAGAGACTCGAGTTTAAATTCGCCAAGACTCGCACAGACGCAAAATCACGCTCACTATGCTTAACTCTAAAAGAGGTGGTCAACTCTGGGCATAAGGCTAGTACCGGGCTCCCAGCCTCCCAGTCTCCCAGAGAGTCCCAGACTCCCAGGTTCAGGGCCCAGGAGTCCCAGGCACTCCCAGACTCCCAGGCCCCAGCCGTTGTTATTTGCGTGTCACAGACTGAAAGACTCCTTGGTTGTCAACAAAAAGTCAAAAACTGTCATAAATCTCTTGATTCTTCATCTGACGTTCGGTAAAAAGTGAAAAGGGAAAACCAAAAAAAGTACTTGTCATGATGTAAAAAATGTAGCGAGCTTTTTTATTAGAGGTGGCCTTTTTTTTTAAATAGCCAGGGCTCGACCTTGTTGGTCCTGACCTGAGCTCGTCGCCTGTCGCCTGACACTGACAGTGGCTGACACTGGATTACTGAACCGACTGACGCCTGAGTGGCTGAATCCTAAGTTCCTGACGCTCTGAGTCCCTAACAGCTTCCTCTGCACTGCCAGCTCCGATATCCGAAATTCCGAATACAAATGTGAATTTAGGCTTTATATGGCCTGTAGCCTCACACACTCACTCTCTCTACCTCTACTACTAGAGAGAGAGAGAGTAGAGAGAGAGTAGAGAGAGAGTAGAGAGAGACAGAGAGACAGAGAGAGACAGAGAGTCACTGAGTCAGAGGGCCCGTGTAGACTGTAGTCCTGGACCTGAATTCGTGTTAGCCCTTTTAGCCTCTGAAATTGTCCGATAAAACGAACACAGCGGTTTATAATAATTATTGTTCTTTTATAAAAATCGCTGGGTTTTTATTGTAAATTCTGATTGATCTGTTGAACTAGGAGTCAAAGCTAAATATTTCCTCGATCACAGAGAGACAGATGCCAACTGCCCAACTTCAAGTCTCCAACACAAGAGTGCCAACAAACAGGCAGCTGGCACTATTGCAACAGCTCAAATATTTTGATTGTCTTGAGTCGCCATATTTTGACAATAAATAATACATAGCCTGAAAAGATGTTTTTTTATAAAAATATTTATGTTTTTTTTAAACTTGCAGTTTTATTTCTAAAATAAAAAACAATGCCCATTTTTCACCAATGGTGTTACCCAATGCCCAGTTTTTCACCCACTCTCACCCAGCAATACAAATATTCTCATTTGTTGCTTTTTTTTTCAAGCCTCGCCAGTCGCCGCCCTCAAAGAATCAAAATAAATCCGCATCACTAAAATAAAAATATTTGTTTTTAATTTTCATTTTAAAAATAGGTAAGCCCCATTTATTTTTCTCCTCCACTGTATTTTTAGAAATAGGTAAATCCCAAAAAAAAAAAAAATCTTCCTCCACTGAGCTTTTTTACTGCTCAGTCTCTCTCTGAAGTTTCTGTCCTTCAAATCGTAAAACGTAAACACGCTTTCAAATCAACGTATGTGCTTCCTTTTTTTTTACATACGTTATAGGGGTCGGGTTTCGTTGTTCGCCCATAGGCTTCTGAAATCAAACAGGCTATGATTTGGAAAAGCTCGCCAACTGGATTACTATGCTTCATGGGGCCCTGGGCTGTTCCGGTTTTCTCAGTCCTCGTTAAAAATTAGATACAATAGACCTGTGAATTGGAAATTCAGTTCTCTTTATTTTGGAATTGGTCCACTTCATAACTGCTATGTATTGCTTCATATGGTACAGATCAAAAAAATGGTTCCCGTTTTCAGGTAGTAAAATCATAGCCTTCTGAAAATTAAACAGTAAAATGTATTAGGCCCAGCGAAAATATGACGCGAGACATTGATTTAGTGCCACACTCCCTCAGAGAAAGATTGAAAGAGGAGTGAGAGACTGCGAATAGAGAGAGAGAGGATAGAGTCTCACCGTTCAATTAATGGCCAATGCCCAATTGCCCATTGCCCAAATTTATTGTTGTCAATTGTCTTTCGCACCACAAATAAGAGTTAAAAAATCAATAGAGGAAGTCAGGAAGGAACTCAAGGAGGAGATATTTTAATTTTTTTTAATTTTTAAAAACATATTGTATAAAATACTTGCTCTCTACGGTCCAGCGGCTCTAGAATAAATTTGCCTGGCGGCTGGCAATCCAGGCAATACTGGGCCTGGGCCTGGCTCTCTGCGGTCCAGCGGCTCTAGAATAAATTTGCCTGGCGGCTGGCAATCCAGGCAATACTATGCCCTGGGACTCGTGAGTCGTGACTCTGAGTCTGAGTCTCTGAGAGTTACTACATAGTCTCGTGAGTCCTGAGCTAAGTTCAATCCGTTAATGGTATACAGAATAAAGGTTGAACGGAAACTTATACTCATTCGTTTTGAAAACGTTAAAAAGTTTCACAGGTCAAAATAGAAAACGAAATTTTCAAATTTGCACTCAACATGTAAACCTGAATTCTAACGAAATGGACTATATAGCAAATAGAGACCAATAAATATCTCGACTGACAGGCGGGCCCGCCGGGTTTAAGACAAATCGATGGTCTGGAATATGCACCATTTTAAATTTCACAGGGCTATAAACAGAATATAAGTTGAACGGAAACGTTTACTGATTCATTTTGAAAAGGTTAAAACGAGAAACTGAATGAGGTTACGTCCTGAGTCGTGAGTTGTACTCATGGGTCATGACTCATGAGTGACTAGTATGCGTGAAACAGTCAGGATAATTCATAATACGACAATCCACAACAACATCAAATGCGACAGACCAGAGTAAATTAAAAAGCCAATTTTGTTTTTAGAAACAATATACACTGACTGACTGACGTTGACTTATTTATAAGTAGCTTTTTAGGCCTATTGCAGACCCAGTACATCAATATAGAAAGGCCAATACAAGAAACACGATGTGATACCAGCAGTAACGGTGAAGTCGAGAAGTACGAAATGAGTAAAATAAAATAGTAAGAACGATAAAACATTTAGAACATCAGATTGAACAAAAGAAGAAAAAGTAAAAAAACTACTCTTGATAATGTACTGTGCTGGATTTCAAATTTTTCTTCAAATGGCGTTTTGAGGCGGGGGCTTTAATTTGAGGTGGGGCCNCTGGG